ATCTCATTTTGTTTTCTTTTGAGTAAAATTTCTCTTCAGGAATCTACTTTGTATATTCCACATTTCTCTCTTACTGCTATTACTACAATAGTTACACACTTATGATGTAATGCACTTATGTTTTCATTTGGTGTAATTGAATTTATTTTAATGAACCTTAGGGTTCCATGGTGTATTGAATATATATATATATATATATATATATATATATATATATATATGTATGTGTATGTGATGTATACATACACATATACATATATATATATATATATATATATTTCATCTAAAACCCAGGAATTATTGAAAATTATCACTGTTTACTTATTACATTTAGTAATATTAAAAAATGTTTAGTTCAGAACATATAAAGAATCTCTTTGCCTCAGTCTTTAAAGAAAATCTATTTACTAAAGCTTTTGTCACCTCATTTAGAAACGCATTCGCACATGTGTAATCCTCTTTATTTATTAGCTCTCAGAAATATGTGTTGACTAAAATACCACAGTAAGGATATATTGTCACCAGCTTCAAGATCTACCTCATATCTGATGGAGAACAATTATTACACTGAGCTTTCAAACACGGGAGTTGCTTTTCCTCCCATTATTCTGATCTCCATTTTAATTCTCTCGAATTATACATTTAAAATGGGAATAAGGTCCACACAGAAGTAAATTCCATAAAGAAGAAAATAGCAGAATAGGAGAAAAACCTTCTTAAGTAGGGATAGAGAAGGGATGTGCGAAGGTTGGTAACTTCAGTGGGAAAAATGGTAATTTTCATGTCTTCTAATTTGTGTAATTCAAATATTCATAATTGTGTCTCCCCATTGTATAATTTCAAATTGTGTTGCCTACTGAATTCTGATGGATTGTGTTTCTAATTGTGCCGGTTAGGGAGACTTACATCTCAATAACTGTTCCAGTTATTCTTATTCTTTATGCAGTTTGAAGTTACATTAGATTTCCATTCCTAACATCCTAAATTAGAAAGTCATAAGAAGTACGCAGGAGAATGTTTCACAGGTGTGCTTTGGTTATGTGACTTATGTACGACAAATTTCAATGTTTATAAGGCCCTTCCTTTGGCTGAGGGACTTTGGATCCTGACTGATGGATGGGTACGTTTACTTGAATCTCACATTCATTTCTCTTTGGTCTTTTCTACCTGCATGTGATAAGACTATCATCAAGAGAATACCACGAAGATGAAGGAAGGTCTGTTCAAATACCTGCAACAACAAATGTCATCCACAAATGTAGTGAGAACAGGACTAACTGTGACAACCCTTGCCACTGTTGATTCATCTGAAATCCTGGCAGTGGGGCAGGCAATGTGGATGTCTCAGGCCATGAACTTCGAGCTGGAGAAATTCTCACATGAGGGTGTGGGTAGGAGGGAAGAAAGTTAGCAAAAATCATATAAAAAGTTAGTTTAGGGAAAACTGGTATAGTGGATCATGTATGTGTGTGTGTGAGGGATGGGGTTACTGGAGAATGTTTTAAAAACTTTTAGCATGTTTGAATACTCTCCTCAAATAACCAAACCAGAAGCACAGGTATGATGTTGACATTTCAGCTGTGTGCGCATGTTTACAGCAGAAGCCTACAGTGAGGAGCTGGGCTACTAGAGTAATCATCTAGGGTGAAGGACAGAGAAGTGAAACCAAGAGACTTGGAAACATGCACCAAAAGACGGCTCAGACGTTGAGTTCCCCTTTCACATCCTGTTTTACAATCCTTTCTACAGCATCAATACATAGCATGTCATAAATAATTACTCTTGAGAGACTGCATTTCAGAAAACAAGTGCTGCTTTTAATATCAATTATGTAAGCATGCAATATTGCTAAATACAAAAGTCACAGAAGCTCATAGATGACTTTCCAGGCTGCCACTAGTCAGTGAAAGAACAGTACGAGGTTTCTAAGACATCATCAATTATGGATCCTTTCTTTGTTTAATTTAAAAACTATACCTTTTATTTTCTTTACTACTGCAAGACACATTCAGAAGCTTGCTGCTCAAAAGTTACACTTTTTCTTATTCCTCTGACAAGAGATAAAAATGCCATTTTTTTTTTTACATTGATTCCTTGCTGTCACATCTGAGGAAGACTGTGTTAGGGTATGGACAGTGGGCTACTATGTTAGTATTCCCTGAAAAATGAAGATCATGATTTTCGTTACAGAACAGAAAGCATTTTTTGCTAATTCATCATGAATTTGTACTGACGTAAAATATTCTCAGTTAAAAAAAGAGTTAAACTCAACGATTTCAGAAGCTTCTCATTCATTGTTAATGTGTTGAAAATGGAAAATTTAGCGTTTCTAGGTAATTAAATAAAAAGCAGGAGTATTTGTTCACATACATTGCATGATCATAAGCATGTAAATTTACAGTTTACGTGTCAGAAGTAAACTCTCAAAATAAGTATTATTGAATATGAAAACAAAATATGAAAACAAAAAACCACAAAGGTAGGCTTAGCCACATGTGTCTTTGCCCCAAAGACATGTGTACAAACCCAGGAAAGGCTAGTTCATTTAAAAACTTAGTCTCCTTTTCTGTAAAATGCAAGCTGAAAGAGTGTATATATAAACTTTTTTTTGTACAGAGAAACATACTGTGAAATTAGCTTTAATTTTATGACATGTGGATTCAAAATTCTGTTGATAAACATGGGCTCAAATTAGCTTTTTAATCTTGCAAAAATTAGTCCTTATGTCCACATCCTAATTTGTGAAAGGAGAACAAGATCAAACTCTAAATCGTGTGTTTGAAGAGGAGGGAAAAAAGTGCTCTGACATGACCTAGTTGAGATAGTTGACACCTTTTGCTTGGGTTGCCTACTTCCATCTATCTTTACAGATTGATTCCTATGTATTATCATTACTTGTAAATAACAGGTTTTAAATGAAAATCAGGAGATCCTATGCACTTTTGCCAATCAATATTTATGCAATGTGACGAATTCAGAATGTTGATCATTTTTCCCTTCCCAGCCAGAGAATCCCTCTGGGATTGAATACAGGACACAAAGTAGTAGTAAGAGGCCAAAGGAAATCCAAAGCTCCATGTGACTTCTCCATTTAGCAGTACCCATATATTTAGAGACGAGCATGGCACCACATGCACGAGTAATAGTATATCACACAGGGATATAATATGACACTTCCACATGGGCTCAGCACTGCTTCAACACTTTACAAAACGCACGGGAAACCAGTTTTGAATTCCACAACTTCAAGAATGAACTTCCTATTCACAAGAAAGCTATCAGGATAGTTAAACAAGGACATCGAAATGGTTGGATGTTGTAAATAGATTATTGAAGATTGTCTCAAATAGGCCACAGGTTCACAGCTTTGAGTCTATCAATACGTAGATTTGTTTCAATTTTATCTAGCCTCTAATGAGTTAGATCAAAGCAAGGCCTCTTACATTGAATGTATTTACTGTTTTATATCCAGAAAGACATACTTAACATTTCTTCTTTTTCTGGAAAACATCCAGTTGGGGACTAAATGAGATTCATGTACTCCCAGTCAGTGATGAAAGCACTCTATAGGAAGACATAGGCAGACTTCCTGTCTACCTTGTCTGGTACCAGAGTATCTCAGTTTTGTTGAACATAGCTACTGAGCAGAGCTGGGTGGCTCTGGTTGAGTTCCTACCATACTCAGGTTTGCCTGTTGAAACACCTCTCCCTACTTAACCTGGAACTGTAGCTATGCTGGCACTTCAGGACACTCTTAGGCTTTTCTGCTGGGAAGGTCTTCTGTTATCTGTTATTTGCCCCATATGATGCCCCAGATGAACCCTGGGCATCTAACTGGATCCTTATTTATTATCAAAGATAGTTGGTATCATAATACTGACCAGAGGGGTTTACACAGGCCACAGAAATTCCCCATATGGGAATTGTGAGGTCAAAATACAGCATAGTCCATCAACAACATCAGTAAAAGTGTGGTTGGGTGATAATTATTATATCTGAATGCAATTCACACAAATTATTAGTAAAATTTTACAAACATTAAAAAGTGCATAATAACATTTGGGTAGGAAAGGGCTGAGAGGGGACATGGGAGAACACAGCACAAGGGCTTTATTTTTAGACAGGTGCCCACAGGCTTCAAAGAGAATTCTTTTTCACACACTGTACTCCAGAGTTAAACAGTGATACCCATCAGTGTGAGAGAAGTGATCCACAGAGCACAGCATTTCCAGTTCTTTGCATTATCTGGATTTCTTTGTCTATTTTGTTGATTCTTAAAATTCTTATAAATGAAAAATTAAAGTATTAGTTGAAAGAACATATTTGGAAATAAAACCAATTTTGATAGAATGCTGGTCTGTGTAGATACTAAGACTGAACTCAGGCAATATTCACATTAATGGACATTTCCACATGCCTGTATAATAAAGCAAAGGGGGCTCAGTGAGTCTGTTGGATGTAACCTTCAGCAGCTATCAAGAGGAAAGTTCTGTTTTACAAAAGTATGTTCTGCCCCGTGCACGCCACAACACTAGGGAAAATTAAAAAGGCAGCCCTTTAAAAAATGAGCGGTATAAAAATTCACAGTCATGTACATCATTTTGTTTTACATAAGCAATCAAAGGGCAGTGCTGAGCAGGTATACTGTATGATACAAAACGGTGTAAATAACACAGCACTTACACACAGGGACATAATGCTAACTGTGCTCTCTGGATGGTTCTTTTTTTGAGTCAATACTCCAGCCAGAGATATTGAAACTCTGGGGTTCAACTCACCCTTTTCAATTAGACACAATTAAATCCTCTGACATCATGAGGGGCCAGATGCTACAGGAATCATCATCTAGGTCAGTGCTACTCTCTACAAGCATTTCATTATACGGTCAAGTGAAAGGACCCATACACAAATGATATCCAAGCACAGGCCAGGTGACCTCAACCATTGCTAATGACAGAGGTGGGGAAAAGGCTGTGTGCAGACACAGGCTCTGCCCCCACTTGTGATATGGCAACCAACAGCATCTTGCTGTGCAGTGCAGCCATTTTCTTCCCCTCTGTTTCACCCATGGCTGCAAATACATCTGAGCAATGCCAGGAGATGTGCCACATTGTCAGGTATTGATGACCGTCAGAATGGAGTGTTAGCTTTCTGACTTGGCTGCTTCTCCTTGGGCTTCCCCACTTTGTTCTTTGGAGCTTCTCTGTCCATCATCTTCACCTTCTGTAAGAGACAATGAGAAGAGGGGGCAAGGAAAAACTCATGGTTACTGACTCTCAGAGTGCTGGAGACTTCGAAGGCTGAAAATGTTATAGACAAGTGTTTTCTTAGAAGTGTATGATCAACAGAATTGCGTGTGTTCACGCCTGGCATTTTATCAGGCATGAGAATGAAAGTAAAACCAAGTGACTTGCGAAAGGCCTAGACTTGTTAATGACTAGCTAAGCTTCTGATAAAGAAAATCTCATGGCCAAGTTCATCAGTCTTAAATGTTGTTATATGATCTATAGAAACCAGAGGTGGGATTGTTTCCTGACTTTTTAATTTGAAGAAACATTTAAAATTTACCTTTCCAGTTATTTATAGAACTTTAGAATAATTCACCTGATTTCTCAAAAATTCTATTAATTCATAATTGATAGTAACAACAGAAGATAAAGGATTTTTTTTTTTTTTTTTTTTTTTTTGCTATTTGGTCAGTCTCTTGTCCAACAGTTTGCTTGTCTCTGATCTGACCTCAAGAATACATGTTCAGTGTCAAGTCAATGTTCTTCAATCATTATACCCACTGCAATCTCAGTCAGCGCCTTCACAAATACTATAATTGAACAATACTTTCACTCTATCTTGGAGCAACTAACACATGTGAAAACTCTGGTCAGTCCTTCCTTCTGATGTCCACATTTGTCATTTGACTACTGTAACCAATATAATTTGGCAGACAAAATATTTTATAGTTTTGCAGCAACATGAATTCTGTCCATATTTTATGAAAGTTTATCATACTTAAATGGGTAAAGATAGATGGACTGGCCACACTGCCCTTACTTGTATATAATACTAAAAAAAGATTATCATTTATTTTCTTCCTTGAAACAGATTTTACTGTGTAGTCCAGGTTGACCTCTAACTTCTTAACCTTTGACTTCATCACTTAAAAGCTACAATTAGAATTGTACATCACCATACTTGGCTCTATCCTTCACTATTTTGAAATTAGTGAATTAATGAATGAATGAATTTAGGCCGTGTGTGTGTATGTGTGTGTGTGCGTGTAAGTGTGTGTGTGTGTGTGTGTGTGTGTGAGTGTGCATGCATCTGAGTGTCTTGTCTGTCTTCCAGTATACACTTGCCACAATGTGAATGTGGCGGTCAGAGGACAACTTTCAGAAGTGAATTCTTTCCTCTGACTGTGGGATCTGGGATTGAACTATAGTCATCAGGTTTGTGTAGCAAGTGTGTTTACTCATGGAGTCATTTTGGTTTCCCTCTATCCTCTATTCTTAAAATTTGCAAACTAAATATCTCATTATACTCCAGTAATTCTCCGTACTTAAAGAAATTAATCTTTATATGTTGAGTTTTATCAAAGCATAACCAGGCAATGCTTATGATTTTTCATACACTAGTTTTTATTACTAGAGTCCTGGAGAAGCCTTAAAAATGTGCAGAAGGTCCGGATGTGGTGTCCATAGGTAAGCACAGAATAAGGAGTCTGTATATGGGAGACATGTTTGATAACTAAATGAAGGGAGTCACATCTTGGCAGATGAGGGACAGTAGAATACGGAAGGATGAAAATGGCTGTATAAATATAAAATGGATAACCCAGCTCCTGGAGCTTCCTGGTGCTTGAGGACACTTCTTAGGGTTTAGCATCACACTACAAACAGAGATGTGGTTAAATGATGCTTGTAAACTAGTTAAGGAGAATGATGTTGCTGAATATGTATTATAAGAAAATAGAGACAAGTGTATTAAGTTTGCTTTTAAATGTGTCATATTTTATAGTTTAGACATTCATATTGATTATTATTATTTGTTCTGTGCATGGACAATGGTAAAGTCAATGATGTTAACAATTTGCCTAGTTCTAGATTTTATTGTTTGAAGAGAAACTAAAAAATTTGCAAGGGCTAGATAATTGTAATTAGAATCTAGAGTTCTTTAGAAAACAAGATATGTTATAGCCAGGAATATATGTGATTTTTTTAAAACTATATAATTGTATTTAATGCAATATTTTACTTTTTATATATATGAATATAAACATCAATTTTGCTGAAATTATTTATGGTAACCTAATAAGTTTACTTGTATTAAAAATGTTTTCTTAATGCTAACAGTTCTCATTGATAGACAAAACAGAAGAAACTACTCTATGGCTCAAAATTCCCAATTTTAAGACTTCTTAAAATTCATTAATCACTGAATATTTATGTAAGGATTAAAATATAAATCTACTAAAAGAAATCAGCAAATATTTTATATCACAAGAAAAATATATTTTCTTATTTCCTGGCAATAAAATGAAATAATGCCATATAGTCTTTCTCCAAAGTCCATTGAGAGTTAAGTATATACAAAAATGGTGGAGAAGCAATGAGCCCTAGAATATGCAGGTCTGTGCAGTTCAAAGCCATGCTGTCAACATTTGTATTAATCTAAAATTGAAATGGTGTCTATGACTACTGACCTTTAGTAATTTAAGAAAATCGTGCCGTTTAAAAATCATATACACAATTATACTCATTTCCCAACAATCTGAAGACTTTCTCAATGTATTCTTAGAGCAAAGCCATATTAATGTTGCAAATAGAGTCAGAAATAGTGAGTTCTTATGTGTATAACACTGTGGTTTCTTGATTATGAATTCTTTTTTCTATTTGATAATTATTTTGTACTTGTCTTCTTAATAAACTTGAAGAAGCTATGGATGGGCTAACTACTAAAGAATTTATTTTAATACTGAAAATTAAGACAACTAAATATTTTAATGTATTAAGATATTTCTTTTTCACTAGTAATGCCAGGTGACTAAACACATTTTTTTCACAAAACCATCCAATCATGAAAATGTAAAATCCACCTTATCTAAGAAGCACTTATATAACAAACTTTTTGATTTCCGTTCTCAAAAAAAATGGTTCCAGGGTACTTCTTTTGAAATGCCTTTTTGATTGTGGTCTGCCTGCCTCAATTGTGAATCTTTATAAGTACATAAGAAATGGGAGAGACAATTGGTGTTATCCATGGCAGGAGTCCTAACTCTGTTAAGTTTTTCCATAAGTAATTTCAAAGGTTTTGTAGATATTGAATTTTTTTGGTCATGGTTTTAATTTTTGAATGAGAAATCACTGAAACATGGAGGGATTGCGGAACTAATCAGACTTTCATTTTGCCTGAACTGTTTTAACTGTGTCATATAATTTCAAAGGAAACATTTTTGTTGTTATTGTTTTGGGTTTTTTGTTTGTTTCTTGTTTGTTTGTTTATTGTTTTTGTGCCCTAATCTCAGGTAGGAAAATACCAAATTGGTCCATTTTCCTAGAAAGGTGTACGTTGAGTAACTCACCTGTCTTGTTGATATCAAGACCTGCTAGTTTCAAGGCTAATTCATTGCTGTTGCCACTTGCAGAAGAAACCAGGATATCATGTATTGCATTTCTTCTACCTGTTCTTCCTGAAGCAATAAAATCTGCATATGTAGTTTCCACATCAGTCATTGCTAACAAATATCCACATAGCAAGGACTACAAAAGAAAGAAAAGTTAACAGGTGAAGGCAATGGTAGTCAATGGTGAATATTTAACACAGAAAGATTAATGAATGGCTTGTAACATGAACGAGAGACAATGTTTAGAAGTAGTGTTTTGATTCTTGTCTGAAACATATCAATTCATAAGAAAGATCAGCATGGCAGAAATACCCTACGGGAGCAATAGTGGTACACATACCCTGGCAGTAAGCAACGCCTCTTTACTAAACCAGCATAATTCTTAACCACATTCTAAATGCTTACTCTTATACTCACAGGTAAATATAATTCTTGACTCTTATTGTAGAAATTTCCCTTTGCGTGCCATTACAGAAAAACAAAAGCAATCAAAATGCAAAAATGTTCTGGTACCCAGTCCCAACTGATATAAACTCATCCCATTTCCAGAACTTAAGTCTCAAGGATCACTAATGAAAGATTGGGAGTCGGGTTGTAAAAGCCAGAGGAACATCAAGTTCGGTGTGCGACTAGTCTACTAGAATTTCAGAAAAGTTATGTTTTGATGAAGTCTCATCAACATGGCTTCATTTTTTAAATCACTCTTATATTGCTGTGAAGAGACAGCATTTTCCAAAGCCACTCATACAGAAAATGTTTAATGTAAGGTTTGCTTACAGTTTGAGAGGTTATACCAATATCATCAGAGTAGGGAACACAGTGGCATGCTGGTAGACATGATACTAGAGAAGTAGCTGAGAAACCTACATCCTGTTCTATGGAGAGTAGAGACTCTGAGCTTAGTGTTGGCTTGTGAAAACTCAAAGTCCACCCCCAGGGACATACTTCTCCAACAAGGTCATACCTCCCAATCTCTAATAATTTCAAATGGTTCCATTCACTGGTGATTATGTATTCAAATATATGAACTTAGAGATCCATACTTATTCAAACCACTGCAAATGCCTAAGCAAGACCTGAGCAATAAGGAGACCAATGGATATGATAACAAAGAAAGGGGAAATTTCATGGGGCCTCATCTCTAGACCAAGAACTATTGGCAGCTGGGGAGTGCCAAGAGTAGGAGAAATAGTCTTTTCTAGGGAAGGTCCGTTCAACTGGCTATCCAATACCAAGTGGCTCATCCTAAGATAATATACATACAGGTAGCATTATACAGCTGAGCAAGTTGTATTTATTCACTTTTGAATCTATGTAACAATTAAAGAAAAAATGCCATGAATTTGAGGGAGCTAGATGACATATAGGAGGAATTGGAGGGAAGAAATTTGAGGGAAAATGATGCAATTATTTTATAGTTACAAATCAACGTAACAATTATTTTAAAAAAATCAAAATTCTAATGGGTTAAAGTTAGAGCCCTATGGCAGAACATATATTTGGTATGCACAATGTCCTGCTTTTCACCCCAGGGCCACATAAAGTAAAAGTAAGAACTTTAACAAAGGAAGGCAGGACCCTTCTTGTGCTCATGATTCAGCATCCAGTACTTTGATCTCCAATCCAACTAATCAGTGTTAACTTAGAGTCTAAAAGAGTCACACACAATAAATTTAACAAATACAAGAAGAGCTTCATGAAAAGGGCATAGACCAGATTTAGCCCACATGCCACAGCTTTACACATGATTTATATTTTAAAATTATCTTTAGAGAATTTTATTTTAAAATTATGTTTTAAAATTCTGCTATAGGGCTAAATTGGAAATAAGGCAGGGGTTGAATGAAGTGGTCTAGTACACAGGTGTGCATTCAGCAAGTGCACTATTATTATTGGATGTAGCAAGATCTAATAGAAGAGTTACGTCCTTAAAGCATAACCTGGGTCCTCTTCTTCCTCATTTTTAGCTTTCTGGCTACCAGGAAGTGTACATCTTCTTACACCATATGGCACCACCATAAAACCATGGGCCAAATGAACCTTTCTCTTCCTATGTGGCCTGTGTCGCACATTTTGGGGTGCGGTTGTTGATCTGCCATTCAGTCATGGAGTGAATTGTAGAGAAAGCTTTAACCATTTTGTTCTTAATTATTGATTAGTAAAGAAGTGCACTGGACAATGTAATAATTAATATGCTTCAAGTGAGAATATGGTTATAATGGTTACTCAAAATTATTTTATTCCCAAAGTCTTGTATTTGGAAATCCCCTACTCTGGCCATCGTCACCTCTACCTTTCCTTTCATCTCATACTTTGTGAATGAATTCCTTCACATGGATCCTGTCTTTAATTCCTTCAGCACCTTGTACTTCAATCTCACTAGGTGCAGTACCATGTCATCAGCCGCCCACTGGCTCATGTTTCTTCATCTAAGCATCGGGAAGTCCCTTTCTCTATTATGATCACTGCCTTTCTACCTTTGCTTCATGCTGAGAACACAGCCCAGCACACTTTCTTTGATCTCAATACCAGGTTGCTGTTCCCAGAAAAAGTCACACAATTGTGCCAATTGGCTCAACTAGGCATTTCTGACTATTATTAGTCTGTACTCTGAGTTGCACAGATTCTCTTATTCACCTCTGGGTGACTCTTCCTTGAGCTCTGATCTGTGGGAACAACTCCCAGCCCTTTCGAGACTACACATCAAATATTGTCTGTTTTCAATGGTGGCTCCTTCTCTGTTTCCTAAAAGGATACAGGACACTGACTTTATGTTTTCTCAAAATTCTTCTCCTAAACTATATTCTCAGTATTGTCTTTCTTTGTTGGTGAATTGTTTTCCTTCCTACCTTCCCTCCCTCCTTTCCACCTGCCTACCTACCTTTCTTCCTACTTTCCTTCCTTTCTTTTTGAGACATGCTATTGATTTCTTTTATAACATTTCCTATACCATCACCCACTTGCTATAACATTATATACCATGTTTAATGCATTTTTGTTTATCTCTTACCCTTGAAATACATATCTAGCTATTTCTCAATAAATAGTGATTTTTTTTTATCACTTACATTTTCATTCTATTTTAAATGCTGCTTCCAGAACAATCTTAGGCCATTCTGAAAACATTTCAAAGCCTCAGCCATAGTCTATAAATTCTAAAAATTAGAATTCCATTTAAGGCTGAATGGCTCCCGCTTCTTCAAATTTTACTTCACCATGCTTGGTATGTTGCAGAATATAGCACAGTGTTTTTCAGATATCTGTGATGGTGCATTTACTCAAATCTGTTGCCCCACCTGGAATTCAGTTTTCAAATAAATCTGCTTGGTGAAACAGGCTGAGCCCTTGGAATTCACCGGAAACTCATCTTCTCTTTTTTCACTTTCCCATCTTCAGTCAGCACTTTATAAGGCAGGATTTTGTCTGTTCAAAGCACTGACAGCACTATGGTGGCCTCTCTTTCTAGACAGATAGCAAGCTATGACAAGTCAAGAAATTATTAATGAGATGGAAAAATATTGCATATATTCTCTCAATTGTAGAATATAAGGAAAAGCAGAAGTGGAATCCATTGGAGATAGAAGGCAGAAAGGGAGGGAGTGGGAGGAATAGGGAGGGTAGTGGAGTGACGGATGTGAGGGAAACCAAGTGCTGTATACATAAAAATGTCAACAATCAGTTCTATCATTTGTATGCTAACTAAAACTCTAATTAAAAAAATGTGTTTTGTTAATATTTTTACAATATGCATTTCTAACCTAGTTACTTGCATAGTGTCAGTCTTAAATCAAAGTATAGATACAGCGAATTTCCTTTCATCATCAGCCACAGAGACTGTCCCTGATTCCTGATGATGACGGCAAGTGAACAAATCCTAAAAATGGACCCACTCCAAATTGGACGAATCCATTTAAGCAGAGTCTGAGGACCGTGTGATTCAACCTTCCACCCATCTTTACCTTGTTACTTAAATTTTTGGAACACAGGTTCATAAATTCCTAACACTCCTTTTACATTTTTATGAAGCTGTTTCTGAGTAAGAAATAATGTTTTGACCTTGCAATAATTAAATTCTGTTAGTTACAAGGATGCTGTCTTTAGCTAGAGCACCATTAGCAACATGACATTTAATTTCTACATTAACCTGAAGGTTTAGAACTGAATAAAAAGATCAGGCTTCTGAATATGCCTGTAAGTATTTAAGGGGAAATGGAGCAAGAGAAATACACACTTTTTATAGTTTCTATTCTCAGCGAGTGTCTTTTACAATTGTTTTTCAAACATGACTTAAAAGAAAGAACACTACTGCTAATATTCATCATCTAGCAAAAGAAAATAATAAGATAAGAATCAATACCCCATTTTCAGTTTTTAAAATGTCTCATGTTTTAAATGTTCCCTAAATCATTTGCAGACCATGGCTTAAAAGCCAGGTCTTATTTTATAGAAGAAGTTCCTTTTCTTCTTCTTACTCTTTTTCTCTGCAGACTGCCATGGCATGTGGCTTTGTCTAACTCACTCTCTTAATGCTGAGTTTAAGAAGATCTGCAGTACCAAAATGAATCAGATAACTGGTTCTATTTCCAACAGAAGGTATGAATTAAAAGAAACTGAACAAGAATCTTGAAAGTCTAGCTGTGAACAGAACTGACAGCTTTGAACTCTCATTTAGTTCACTCTTAGCTAATGGGCATATGCTGGGACAAACAGGGGTATGGACATTCTAAAGGGGTGTTGTAATTGTCCTCAACTGGTTATACACAGATTGGATTTGAATTGAGTCTTCATCAGTCTAAGAACTGATGAAGAAGCACTGTTCCTGTAGAAGTCTCTCCTCTTAAATACTTTTGTATGCATTTATTAGATTTATGTGTAGACTATACATCTAAATAAAGTAAGCTGTAAACTGGACATTAGGTATTTCATTATGGTTCTCATCTTAATAATTATCTTAGCTATTAATAGAAAATTAATATTTTAAAAATACTTTATTTTGATAAACAATAGATTTATGATAAAAGAAAAGGGCTTACAGATAGCACAAGATAAGCATATGCAAGACAGAAGAAATGCCATTATAATTACGGAAACATACATAGCTGGTTTGAA